CTCCTCCCAATGCCACAGCTCTGCCTGGGCCACTGGCACTCCCTCGTCACCTCCCCAAGCAGGAGGCCAACAGAAAAGAAAACCCAGCCCTGCTTGGCTCTCTAATCTTTCCGCATGGCTGGCTCTTGCTGGGCAGTGCTTCTGCCCACACTCCCACCAGGCCAGAGAATAATCCGCCCATTAGATTCCCTGCTGGGTAAACCACTCTCAGACCCCTCCACCGTTCCAGAGTTCTGCTGAGTGGCCCCTCTCACAGATACTGATCAGGGTGCGCTTCCCAGGCTGGTGTTGTAACCAAGCACTTGCTTTTTGCCTGAGATAATGCAGTTTGAGTTTCCCCCATTGACCAATCACCACTGATTCCCACTGTCTGATGCTATGTGGGCTCCCCTTCCCTTCTCTGTTGCTCTGGTTTCAGGATCCCTGTGTGGGGCTGAGACCCCACACTCCCAGGGGTCAGGAGCTGTGCCCAGCACCTTCCCTCCGGCTTCCTGCCCCCCAGCTGCGCAGCTGTGCCTTCTCTGAGTAGTCTCCTGTCCCCTCTCCGTGCTCCCCACTTACAATATTTCAGATCAACTATTTTTCAAGTTGAGTTTTCTGCAGTTACTCACAAGTCCGGTCCAGTGCTGGGAGCAAGAGGAAGGAACTGCCTTAGGCTGCAGCCATCTTGCCCTCTCTGCTGTCTCAAATTTGTCATCATTACTTTCCAAAGAGATATTTGAAGCATTCAAGGAAAATAATTGTGTAACATTTATTTACAAAATCCTGAAACAATATTTAATTTTAATTTTGATTTTTTTTATGTTTGTAGATTTAAAAAATTTTATTGGGGTGACATTGGTTAACAAAATTATACAGGTTTCAAGTTTACAACTCAACAAAACATTGTCTGCACACCACATTGTGAGCCCATTGCCCAAAGTAAAGTCTCTTTCCATTCCCATTTATGCCCCCTTTGCCCACTTCCACCTTCCCCCATCCCCTTTCCCTCAGGTTATCACTATACTGTTGTCTGTGTCTACACACACACACACACACACACACACACACACATACATTTAATCCCTTCAACTCTTTATCCCAGCTCCCCAATCCTCCTCCACCCTGATAGCTGTTAGTCTGTTTTCTTTGACACTCCTCCCCTTGAGCATGGGGGCTGCATGAAATGACTCACATGTATGACTCATAAGTAAGGCTGTGTCATAAGCAGCCTATGGAAATGTTCATGTAGCTAGAAATTAGGCCTCTTCCAACAGCTGTAGAGTGAGCTGTGTTTCCTGAGAGTCCTCCAGCCCAGTCAGCCTTCAGACCATGCAGCCCTGGCTGACAACTTGACTGCAACCTTGAGAGATGCCCTGAGCCAGAAGCATTCAGGTAAACCTCTCCTGGAGATAACAAACGTTTGTTGTTGTGAGCTGCTAAGTTTTGGGTAATTTGTTATGCTGCAGTACATTACTAATACAGTATTAGCATTAGTAAAAGAAAGAATGAATTATTGGACTTTAATTTTGGTTTGTTCTACATTAACTATAAAATATTAAACACAGCATTTGATTTTAAGATTTAAGAAATTCTAAGGTTAAGAGACAGAATGATTTTTTAAAATTCCTCACCCGAGGATACTTTTTCCATTAATCATCAGATAGAGTGGCAGGAAGAGAGAGAGACAGAGAGAAACATTGATGTCATAGAGCCACATCAACTGGCTGCCTCCTGCACAACCCGACCAGGGCCGGGACGAACCCCAACCAAGGTACGTGCCCGAACCCCAACCGAGGTTCATGCCCTTGACCAGAAGAATCCAACCTGTGACTCGTTGGTCCGCGGGCTGACGCTCTAACTGCTGAGCCAAACCAGCCAGGGCGACAGAATGATTTTTATTAACATTCACAACAATCTGTTTTTTTGAACTTTGATTCTAACTTTGACCCAATTAAAAGGAAGAACCAGGCTGTGCTAGGAATTTTCTAAGATGGCCTGCAATAACCATTCTCTGGTTATTCACCTTCTCCCACACATTTGAGCCAACACTAGTCCAGGTGCTACTCTGAAGGGATTTTGCATTTGTAATTAAGGTCCACATCAGTTGAATGGAAAACGGGAATATCCCGGGTAATCCTGACCTAATCATGTCAGGACCCTTCCAACACTAGGTTCTTTCTGAGTAAAAGATTCAAGAGTGAGTGGGATTTGATGTGAGCGAGGGCTTGAAAATGGAGGGGGTCACAGGGCAAGAAGTGCTGGTGGCCACAGGAGCTGGGAGCAACATCCCACTGCCATCGGACAGGGAAATGGTGACCTCAGTGCTACAACTAGAAGGAACTGAATTCGGCCAACATCTCTGTACGAGCTTGGAGGAGGATCTCAGCTCTAGCTGCAAACACAGCCTTGTGGACTGAGGCGCACAACCCTCCGCAGCCCGCCGGGACTTCTGACCTACAGAACCGCGAGCACCTAAGTGGGTGTTGGTTTAAACCACTGTGTCTGATTTCATGCAGCAGTAGAAAACTAATACACAGGCTCAACTAAGCAACAGATAAGCACAAAATATTTTCTCCACTGCAATGAACTTATGAACTATCAGGTACACTACTTAAATGAAATAAAATATTTCCTAATTTTTGTTTTTGTATTTTTCATTTTGTGATTTTCATGTGATGCAGTTAAACTTTAATACAATTAGACCTATCATTCATTCTTCAACTATAATTAATTAAATCCCCACTGTGCTCTAAATGGCTTTAAATGCTGGCGATACAGTTTCCACCAAACACGCAAAGCCCCTGTACTCAGGTGCCTTACCTTCTAGAGCACCGGTTCTAAACATGTGGGTCGCGACCCTTTTGGGAAGCGAATGACCCTTTCACAGGGGGCGCCTAAGACCATGGGAAATAAGACCTGAGCCGCCGCTGCTCTATCCGTCTCCAGGCGGGCCGCCCACATGCAGATACGCCCACATACAACGTGAGGAGCTGTATTAGAGGGTCGCGGCATTAGGAAGGTTGAGAACCGCTGTTCTACAGGCTTCCCAGAGTGAGATGGGGGACACCAGGGATTTATAAACGAGAAATGACATACCCTGGCTCACATTAGCAGGATCGCTGACCTATGTGGGGAGAATCTCCATAGGCGCAGGTGAGGAGGGGGCGCTGTTGCCACAATCAGGAGTGAGGGAATGGAGACCAAGTGGAGAAGAGGGGGGAGAGACAGAGAAGGGCTGGAGAAGCAGAAAGTGAGGAAAAGAAGTGGAGGGAAAGATTCTAAAGCAGCAGAACTCTCAGATTTAAATCTCTCTCTCTCTCTCTCTCTCTCTCTCTCTCTCTCTATCTATATATATATATATAAATAATCTTCAGGGATTAGAGTAATTTCTGCATGTACTATTTACTACTTGCTGTGGGCCACCTACAAAGGAGTTGCCTCTTTATGTTAATCAGGGTAAAGAAATAGTAACAAGTGCGCTAATAATATATGCTCAGCCCTTAGGTGTAAATTCATGTACACATGCAAAAACACATGAGCCTTGGTGAAAAGCATTTGGACTGCACTGAATACTTGCAACTTTGAGGTGATTGAAGTTTGAACATTCCAGTTGAAATATACTGTATTAATGATATTTTCTTATTTTCTGTATTCTTGATGCTCTGGCATTTGTGTCCTTGTTAACTGGGGAGAGACTGCCCTCCCAGGGCTAGCCAATTCTTAGAGACTGCAAAGGGCTTCCCCAGGAGCATGCCTTTTCTTAAACAATCAAGAGTTCATATTCTGAAGGACCTCTTCCCTCAGGCTCTTACATTCCTGGAGGCAATATTTCTCTGCCCTAATGACCCAGGGAGGTACCGGACAACTAGGGACAATCCCCATTACCCAGAGTCTGGCAATGACATTATTCAGACTAGGACATTTCCTCAGTCCTGCCTTTCTCCAGGAAAATACGATAAAGGCTCTGAGCCATGCTGTCTTTCTTTCCTTCTGCCTCTGGACCAACCTTGGTGCTTCCACTTGTGGCCCCGAGTGGTGTGCTGGCCCCCTCCTCTTGGGAAATGTAATAAAACAGTCTTCTTCTGATGGCATTAGCCTCTCCCAATATCACTCAGTCACTTTATAAATAAAGGCCCGGACACGGATCATACACAGTAACAAATTATACTTCCACATGCTTCTTTGGATTGAGGATGCCTAGGGCTCACACAAACTCAGGGCTCCAGAATGAAGATAGTTTTAAAATACAAAAAGCTGGGGTCTGGGTTTGGGAAAGTGAAATATAGGAGCTTGTTTAGTTATTGCAGGACTGTTTAGACACATTTATATATATAGGGTAAAATCATGGCTTTTACAGATTAGTTTTCTGATATTCAAGGGTTTCAAGATTGTGTTCCTCACTGTGATTCATAAACAAGGAGACTGGTCCCTATGGGAGTCTCTAGTGGTGCCCCAGGCACAGCTGCCCCAGGTTTACTGTTTCTTCACCAACTTTCCAGGGACCAGCTTCATACTGGCATCCTATTCCCTGGGAGTGTTCTAGAAGGGGACAGGGGAGAGTTAAGGAGTAGTACAGCTCAGGTGGAGACAATCCGGAAAGAGAAGAGTAGGAAAAGGGGGCTGGGCTCAGCCTGGGGTGTGTGTGTGTGTGTGTGTGTGTGTGTGTGTGTGTGTGTCTCCCTGGTTTCCTCAGGCAGCTGCTGGGGCAGGACTGAAGGAGACACTGTGACAAAGAGGTCTCCGCGAAGGAGGAGGGGTCAGGGCAAAGTCCCAGGCCTGGTTTTCAGGGTGTCAGCCCGAGGGCGGAGTACAGGATGGGGAAGCTCAGTGTTGGGGAGTCCCCATCTCCCCGAGGTTTCACTTCTTCACACAACCTGTGTCGGGTCCTTCTTCCTGGATACTCCTGACACGACTTCAGTTCTCAACTCCCATTGGGGTCAGGTTTCTACTGAAGCCAATCAGCGTCACCGTGGTTCCGTGTTATAAAGTTCTCACCACCCGGCAGAACTCAGTCTCCCCACACCCTCAGTTTCTGCGTCATGGAGCCGCGAACCCTCCTCCCGCTGCTGTCGCTGGCTGTGGCCCTGGCCCTGACCCAGACCTGGGACGGTGAGTGCGAGGTCGGCAGGGAGCGGCCTCTGCGGGGGAGGAGCAGGGGCGCAGGACTCCGGGGAAGACGCGTCTCCACCTGCCCCGACCGGGACCCAGACACCCCATCTTCTTTTTTTTAGAGTTTTTTTTTTTTTTTTTTCCAAATCCTTATTGTTGGATGTAACATGTATTACAGATGTTCCACATTTTTCCCCCATTGACCCCCTCCTCCCCACTCCCGCCCCCCTCCCACCTTTTCCCACACTATTGTCTGTGTCCATTGGTTATGCATATAAGTTCTTTGGTTTATTTCTTCCCACCCCACCCCCCCAACCCCTTTCCCTTTGAGGTTTGTCAGTCTAGCAATGAATTTGTGCTCCTTAATCCCTTCACCTTTTTCACCCATTCCCCCAACCCCCCTCCCAACTGGCAACCAACAAAATGTTCTCTGTATCTATGAGAATGTTTCTGTTCTTCCTGTTCATTTTGTTTGTAGATTCCATTGTTGATAGATATGTATTCATTGCCATTTTGTTTGTTCATACATTTTATCTTTTTCTTCAAAAAGACCCTTCATCCTTTCATATAATAACGGTTTGGTGGTGATGAACTCCTTTAACTTTTTCTTGTCTGGGAAAGTTTTTGTATGTCCATCAATTCTAAATGACAGCTTTGCAGGATAGAGTAATTTTGGTTGTAGGTTCTTGGTTTTCATCACTCTGAATATTTCTTGCCACTCCCTTCTGGCCTGCAAAGTTTCTTTTGAGAAATCAGCTGACAGCCTAATGGGTACTCCCTTGTAGGTAACTAGCTGCCTTTCTCTTGCTGCTTTTAATATTCTCTCTTGGTCTTGAACCTTTTGCATTTTGATGATGATGTGTCTTGGTGTGTGCCTCTTGGGGTTCATCTTGTTTGGGACTCTCTGTGCTTCCTGGACTTGTATGTCTGTTTCCTTCACCAAGTTAGGAAAGTTTTCTGCCATTATTGTTTCAAACAGGTTTTCGATTTCTTGTTCTTTCTCTTCTCCTTCGGGCACCCCCAAGATGCGAATGTTGGCACGCTTGAAGTTATCCCAGAGGCTCCTTACTCTATCCTCATTTTTTTGGATTCTTTTTTCTTTTTGCTGTTCTGATTGGGGATTTTTTGCTTCCTTATATTCCAAATCGATGGTTTGCTCCTTGGATCTACATACTCTATTATTGAAGCTGTGTAAATTATTCTTTATTTCAGTTAATGCCTCCTTTAATTCTAACTGTGTATCCATGATTTCTAACTGGTACTTTTTTATGCTCTTGAGGCCCTCCCTAAGTTCACTGAGGTTCTCACTAAGTTCATTGAGCATCCTTATAAGCAGTATTTTGAACTCAGTATCTGTTAGGTTGCTTATCTCCCTTTCGCTTAGTTCTTTTATTGGGGTTTTGTTCTGTTCTTTCATTTGGGACCTGTTTCTTTGTATCCTCATTTTGGCTGCCTCCCTGTGTTTGTTTCAGTGTATTACTTAATGAGAGGTATGGGGCTCGCTAAGACCCGGTGCTGCTCGTTTGAAAGAATTTAGAAAAAACCTGAAGCAGGATCCAAGATAGGCCAATCCTATGGTTAAGCAAGTGGCAACAGCTTGAAAGTTGTGTGGGGCGGGGCGGGGCCTCAGGGAGTCAGCAGGGCGGGGCTACCAGTGTGAGCCTGGAGTCCCAGATGTGGCTTCTGTCTGCCGCCCCCGGGAAGGGCTCACCAAAGGAACAAAGGCCTCTGACAGCACGTTTGTCCCCGAGGAAGCCCCCTCTCCAGCGCTCACTCCAGTGCCAAACCGCTCAGTTCTTCCCTGTGTGTCTCTGGTGCCCCTCGAGCTGCCTTCCCTCGAGCTTAGAGGGAGAGAGTCCGATAAGTCCGTGCGCCGGCCCTTTAGGGAGCTGCCTGGGGTTCCAGCCGCTTCAGCTTCCCTGAGCCTCAGTTTCCGCTGGTTTTTCCAGCCAGAAGTTATGGGGACTTCTCTTCCTGGCACTGGAACCCTGAACGGGGCACCTGGTGTGGGACGGGGACCCCTCAGTCCTCAGGAAGGACCTTCCCAGCCGCGGGATCCTCCTGATTTTTATCCACCACGCTTGGACACCCCATCTTCTAGTCCCTTCTCCCCCGCTCCTTTCAACCACCTGCCCCCTTACCGTCTCCTGGGCCCCCTCCCCCGTCCTGTCCCATTGACCGAGGTCCCGGGAGCGTGCCGGGAGGAGGGTCGCCCGAGTCTCAGCCCCTCCCCCCCCCCAGGTCCCCACTCCCTGAGATACTTCCATATCGCTGTGTCCCGGCCTGGCCGCCGGGAGCCCCTCTACACCTCGGTCGGCTACGTGGACGACACCCTGTTCCTGAGATATCACAGTGATGCCGCAAGCCCGAGGGTGGAGCCGCGGACGCCGTGGATGGAGCAGGAAGGGCCGCAGTTTTGGGAAGCGCAGACCGAGATCGCCCGGGTCCACGCAGAGACATCCCGAATGAACCTGCAGACGGCCCTCAGCTACTACAACCAGAGCGAGTCTGGTGAGCGACGGGCCCAGGTCGCGGGTCTCACCCGAATCCTCCTTGGAGCAGCCGGGGTCGCTCCGAAAGGCGGGGCTGAGCCTCACCCTGGTGGGGAAACCCTTGGCCCCTAGATTCGGAAAGATCCTGCGGGGACACGGCTTTTGTTTTCAATTAGGGAGAAACAGGGTCTGACCAATCACTGCCCTTTGAGCGCGCGCATTAGACCACTAGGGCCGGGCTAGGTGGGCGGGGCCGACCGCGGGGGCGGGGCTGACCGCGGCGGCGGGGCCAGGTTCTCACACCTTCCAGTGGACATCTGGCTGCGACGTGGGGCCTGAAGGGCGCTTCCTCCGCGGTTATGAACTGTTCGCCTACGACGGCGCCGACTATATCGCCCTGAGCGAGGACTTGCGCTCTTGGAGCGCGGCTGACGAGGTGGCCCAGATAACCCGAAGCAAGTGGGAAGCTGCGGGGCTAGCGGAGCACTACCGGGCGTACCTGGAGAGGGAGTGCGTGGAGTGGCTTCGCAGGTACCTGGAGAGCGGGAAGGAGACGCTGCAGCGAGCAGGTACCAGGGGATGCAGGGGCACCTGCCGAATCTCCCCTCCGACTGGGGCTGTGCCTGCAGCTGGCCCAATCATGAGGGAGAAAAATGGAATTGACACCCGAATTCTTCCCTAATCTCCTTGCCTCTTGAATCCTGAAAGTGAGGATTTCGGTGGGTTTTCAGATACTGTACCTTGAGTGATTCACCCAAAGGGACCAAAACTTTTCTCCCAGGACATTTAAGTCTTTTCCGCGATGGAAAGGGGAATCTCTGAAATAACTTAATCGATTATCTTTGGACCCTGGCAGTAAGTAGCCTTGGGCAGCACTGGGTGACAGACTCTCAGGCCTTGTTGTCTGCCCCATGCCCAATTTCACTGGGGGCCTGACTCCAGGTTTTTTGTTCCACTCTCTGACCTGGGGCCTCCAGTCCTAGGTTTCTTACTCCCATTCTATAACTCTCCAGGGAATGGAGGCTACCTCAGATCCTGAGGTCCAAGCTGGAGTTTTGCACTTCCCTACCTCCACCCCAGGTGTCCTGGCCATTCTCAGGATGGTCACATGAGTGCTCCCTCAGTGGCCCATGGGAAGTAATTCAGAGTTCCTAAATTATCACACTCTTCTCAGATCCCCCAAGGACACAGGTGACCCACCACCCCATCTCTGACCGTGAGGTCACCCTGAGGTGCTGGGCCCTGGGCTTCTACCCTGCGGAGATCACCCTGACCTGGCAGCGTGACGGGGAGGATCAGACCCAGGACACGGAGCTTGTGGAGACCAGGCCTGCGGGGGACGGGACCTTCCAGAAGTGGGCGGCCCTGGTGGTGCCCCCTGGAGAGGAGCAGAGATACACCTGCCATGTGCAGCACGAGGGGCTGCCCGAGCCCCTGACCCTGAGATGGGGTGAGGAGAGGACGTGGGCACAGAGCCTCTTCTAGGGGAAGCAGGGGCCTCTGGAAGACTTCAGCAGGTTGAGGCTGAGGCCTGGGGGTCAAGGCGCTCACCTTTCTTCCCTCCCTTCCCAGAGCCACCTCCTCAGGCCACCACCCTCACTGTGGTCATCATTGCTGTCCTGGTCCTCCTCGGAGCTGTGGTCACTGGAGTTGTGATGTGGAGAAGGAGGCACTCAGGTAGGGAAGGGATGGGGTCTGAGTTTTCTTGTCCCAATTTGGGGTTTTCAAGCCATAGGTAGAAATTTTTCAGTCTCTTGCCATGATGCTGAGAGGTACCATCCACATACATGTGCTTACCCAGTCTGGGGTCCTTTTTGCTAACACTCTGGAAAGCACATATGAAAAAGAGGAAACTTTATCACCTTGATGAATCTGGTGATTCGTCATCTGGTGATTCTCAGCAGGTCAGAGTAGAAGGTCCCTGCCGAGGACAGACCTCCAGGAGGGCCGTTGGTCCAGTCCCCACACATGTACTTTTTTTTTTAATCCTCACCTGAGGATATTTTTACATTTATCATCAGATAGAGTGGGAGGGAAGGAGAGAAAGAGAAGGAGAGAGAAGCATTGATGTAAGAGACACATTGACTAGTTGCCTCCTGCACAACCCTACCAGGGCTTGGGATGAATGGCAACCAAGGTATGTGCCCTTGACCAGAATCAAACCCGAGATTCTTTGGTCTGCGAGCCAATGCTCTTACTGCTGGGCCAAAGTAGCCAGGGCCCCACACATGTATTTTCCTTAGGTGTCCTAGTCCTGCTCTGGGTCTGTAGTCACAGTTCTGGAAACTTCTCTGGGGTCCGGAACTAGGGGTTCCTTCAGGACTTCATGGCCCTGCCTCCTCCCTGGTCTCTCACAGGATGTTTTCCTCCTGCAGGTGAAAAAGGAGGGAGCTACACTCAGGCTACCAGTGAGTATGGAGAGGGTGAACTCTGGGACCCTGGGACAGTGCAGACCGGAGCCCATAAGGGACCTCGCTCTGCAGAGTTCCTCCTTTAGTCTGTCAGCTCTGACCACATCCTGTTTTGTTCTACCCCAGGCTGTAAATTTGCTCAGGGCTCTGATACATCTCTCTGGGCTTCTAAAGGTGAGACCCTCATGTGGGGAGGGGTGAAGGGCCATTCAGAATGTCACCACTTACAGTGATTGGCCTAAATATGTTCTTGATTATTTTCTTTCCCAGTGTGAGACCACTGCCTTATGTGGAACTGAGTGATACAATATTTGCGTCCGGCCAGTGTGGCTCAGTGGGTGAGCGTCGACACAGGCACTAAGAGGTCGCCGGTTCAATTCCCAGTCAGGACACATGCCCAGGTTGTGGGTCTGATCCCCAGTGGGGGGCCATGTGGGAGGTGGCCAATTGATGTTCTCTCTCATCAATCTTTTTCTCTCTCTCACTTCCTGTCTCTCTAAAATCAATAAAGGAAAAATGATAATAATAAAAAAAAAGATTTGTTTCTGCCCCACTTTGTGATGGCAGGGTCTCCTGACTTCCCTGTCTGCAAATGGCATCTCATGCTCGTGTTCCTGTTGGAATGATGAGGGGTCGGGGAGGCTGGCCAGCTGTGCTCCCCACACCATCCTACACGCTGTGCACATTAAATGCATGCAGTTTTTTGTATGTCAATGATACCTCAATAAAGTTATTTAAAAAAATAATTTTATTTTGAAAAACATGTTTTTAAAGTGGATGACTGGAGCAACTCAGCGCCTGCGGTCCATGGACCGGAACCCCGGGCCCACGGGCAGGAAACCGGCCCTGATTGTCGCCTCCCCACCACAAGCTCCTCCTCTTTGCTCCCGCTGCCTCCTCCAGACGCCAACAGGCCACGAGACTGGAGACTCGCGGAGCTGTCCCTGGAGGCTGGGTGGTGGGTTCCGGCTGCTGTGGGACCAAGGCCTACTCCACTGCCTCTCAGTGCTGTTGTCCCTGGGCCCGGTCCTGACCTGGTCCATTGGAGAGGCGAGTGCTCCGGCTCCACGGAAGATGCCGGACCAAGCCCTACAGCAGATGCTGGACAGAAGTTGCTGGGTGTGTTTTGCCACTGATGAAGATGACAGAACTGCTGAAAGGGTGAGACCACGCAAGTGCAGAGGATCTACGAAATGGGTGCACCAGGCTTGTCAGCGCTGGGTGGATGAAAAACAAAGAGGAAACAGTCCTGCCAGAGTGGCATGCCCTCAGTGCAATGCTGAGTACCTAACAGTTTTTCCAGACTTGGGTCCAGTTGTGTATGTCTTGGATCTTGCAGACAGACTGATCTCAAAAGCCTGTCCATTTGCTGCAGCAGGAATAGTGGTTGGCTCTATCTATTAGACAGCTGTGACTTCCGGAGCAGTGACAGTGATGCAAGTTGTAGACCATAAAGAAGGTCTGGATGTTATGGAGAAAGCCAATCCTTTATTTCTTTTAATTGGACTTCCTACTATTCCTGTCATGCTGATATTAGGCAAGGTGATTCGCTGGGAGGATTATGTGCTTAGACAATACTGAAATAAACTACAAATTTTGAACAGTGTATTTCCAGGGATTGGTTGTCATGTTCCTCCAATTCCAGCTGAAGCTAATCCTCTAGCAGATCATGTCTCTGCCACTCGAATCTTATGTGGAGCCCTTGTCTTTCCTACTATTGCGACAATAGTTGGTAAACTGATGTTTGGTAGTGTCAATTCTAATTTGCAAAGGACAGTCTTGGGTGGAATTGCTTTTGTTGCCATAAAAGGAGCATTCAAGATTTACTTTAAACAGCAGCAATATTTACGCCAGGCACACCGCAGAATTCTAAATTATCCAGAGCAAGAAGAAGCATAAAACTGTGACTTCCGGTCGTTCTGCAGTCTGCTCACCCTCATGTCTGCTGTGTTGTTTTGATTCCATCATTAATGCACAGTAGTGGACATTTGTGATAAGCTGCTGCTCTCATATTTTTAAGAAATATAATAAAGAAAGCACTTAGGGCCGGGGAAATCCTCTCAGTAATCATGGAACTTAAGGATGTGATTTGTTCTCATTATTCTGTATGTACTTTTTTTTATGACAGTCATATGAACCATTATATTAGTGTGGTAAACCTGGGCTTTGTTCATATTTTCTTCAGACAGAAATGTAAAGATCAACCTGTTCAAATACAGAAAAAGACACATGCCGTTTTATTCAGATGCCTCTTTTGTACATGTTCATGTTCAGTGTTTCCTTAGAATCAGCAACTGAAGGAAGGTACTAGGAGGGTTTTTCTCACTGACATAATCTGATTACATGGCAAACAGGAGTACATGTTAGATTAAAAAAAGGAAAAAGAAAAATAAATAAAGTGGTTGGCTGGTTTCTATTTTATTTTATTTTATTTTGTTTTGGTTGAACACACTTTTTATTTAGTTAGTTTTTTAAAATTAATTAATTAATTTTTGTTACAGATGTTTCTCCCCCCCCCCACACTGCTACCCCCACCCTACCCCGCCCTGTCCCCAGCTTTGTGGTTCATGTCCATTGTTCATGCACACATGCATATAAGATCTGTGGTTTATCTCCCCCCTAACCCTCGTTTCTATTTTAAGCATTACTATTTGAGGTTATATAGTAGTTCATCCTTCAATTAATTATGTGCAATCCTGTCTGACAGAAGCTGTGTGTAAACAATGAACTTAGAGAATGTCAATAAAAAGTAAACGCCAATCTTGAGTTCCTAAATTACAAACTAAAAGGATGTCCTCCAAATCATAACTTCTTGTCCTTTTATGCTAAACTAGCTTGTGGTAGAATGAATAACATCTGTGTACAGGTTTTGGCGTGAAAGTTAGTTTTCAATTCCTTTGGGCAAATAGCAAGAAGCACAACAGCTGGATTAAATGGTAAGAGGATATTTTATTTTGCAAGAAACCACTACACTGTCCTCCCTGGAAGCTGAACCACTGAGCATTACCACCAACAACGAGTGCCTGTTGCTCCACATCCTCTTGGCCCTTGGTGTGTCAGTGTTTTGGGTTTTGGCTCTTCTGATAGATGTGCAGTGATATCTCATTGTTGTTGTTAATCCTCACCCAAGGACATTTTCCCATTGATTTTCAGATAGAGTGGAAGGGAGAGAGAGAAAGAAACATTGATGTCAGAGAGAATCACATCGATTGGTTGCCTCCTGCACGACCTTGACAGGGGCTGGGGATTGAACCTGCAATCCAGTTATGTGCCCTTGACTGGGGATCGCTCTAACCACTGAGCAACTGGCCAGGGCTTGTTATTTTAATTTGCATTTCTATGATGAGACATGTGGTGGAGCATCTATTCATATGCTTATTTGCCATTCATGTATCATTGGTGGTGTCTGTTAAGGTGTTTGGCCACCCTCCCCCAATTTTTTTTATTGATTTTAGAGAGAGGAAGGGAGAGAGAGAGAAACATTGATGTGTGAGAGAAACATCGATCAGATGCCTCCTGTACGAGCCCCAACTAGGAATTAAAACTGAAACCTGGGCATGTGCTCTGACCAGGAACAAAACCCACCACCCCTTGCTCTACAGACAATGCTCCAAACAACTAACTGAGTCCCACTGGCTAGGGCTTGGCCCATTTTTAACTAGGTTTTTTTTCTTGTTGAGTTTTAAAATTCTTTGTGAGTGTGTGTGTGTGTGTGTGTGTGTGTGTATTTTCCCCCCAGCTACTACATTAAAAAATTTTTTTTCCTTTTTATTTATTTTTTTGATAGAGTGGGAGAGAGAGAGAGACAGAGAGAAACATCAATGTGATAGACCCACATCAACTGGTTGCCTCCCACACGACCTGACTAGGGCCTGGGATGAACCAAAACAGAGGTATGTGCTCTTGACGGGAATCGAACCTTGACTCATTGGCCCGAGGGCCAACGCTCTAACCACTTAGTCAAACCGGCCAGGGCTGTTTTTTCCCTTTTTAAATTTATCTTTACTGTTGAATGTATTAGAGATGTCCCCCTTCTTTCCGCCTTAACCCCTTTCTTCTCCTTCTTAGCCCCTCCTGCCTTCCCCACACTTGTCTGTGTCCATTGGTTATGCATATATGCATATAAGTTCTTTGGTTTATCTCTTCCCCACTCCCCCCTTCCCTTTGAGGTTTGTCAGACAACAAATTTATATTTCTTAATCCCTTCACCTTTTCACCCATCCCCCCAACCACCTTCCCATTTGGCAACCAACAAAAAGTTCTCTTTATCTATGAGTCTGTTTCTGTACTGCTTGTTCATTTGGTTTGTAGATTCAATTGTTGATAGATATGTATTTATTGTAATTTTATTGTTCATATTTTTGTTCTTCTTCTTCAAGAAGACCTGTCAACATGTAATATAATACTGGTTTGGTGGTGATGGACTCCTTTAGCTTTTTCCTGTCTGGGAAATTCTTTATATGGCCATTGATTCTAAATGACAACTTTGTAGGATAGAGTAATCTTGGTTGTAGGTCCTTGCTTTTCATCACTTAAAATATTTCTTGCCACTCCCTTCTGGCCTGCAAAATTTTTTTTTGAGAAATTGGCTGACAGTCTTATGGGAACTCCCTTGTAGGTAACTAACTGCTTTTCTCTTGCTGTTTTTAAGGTTCTCTCTTTGTCTTTAACCTTTTGCATTTTGATGATGATGTGTCTTGGTGTGGGCCTCTTCGGGTTCATCTTGTTTGGGACTCTCTGTGCTTCCTGGACTTGTGTGTCTGTTCCCTTCACCAAGTTAGGAAAGTTTTCTGTCATTATTTTTACAACTAGGTTTTTAATTTCTTGCTCTCTCTCTTCTCCTTCTGGCATCCCTATGATGTGAATGTTGGCACGCTTGAAGTTGTCCCAGAGGCTCCTTACACTATCCTCATTTTTAAAATTTATTTTTACTTTTTGCTGATCTGATTGGGTGTGTTTTGCTTTCTTGTATTCCAAATCAATGGTTTGCTTCTTGGCTCCACTTATTCTACCATTGATTCCCTGTAAATTATTCTTTTTTAAAAATCCTTACCCAAGGACTTTTTTTCATTTTTATTCAGATAGAGTGGGAGGGAGAGAGAAACAGAGAAACACCGACATGAAAGGGACACATAGAGTGATAGCCACCTGCACAACCCAACCAGGGCCAGGGACAAACTGCAACTGAGGTACGTGCCCTTACTGAGAACCCAACCCGGGTCTCTCTGGACCGGAGGCCGACACTCTAACTGCTGAGCCAAACCAGCCAGGGCATAAATTATTCTTTATTTCAGTTAGTGCTTCCTTTATTTCTGACTGGTCCTTTTTTATGCTCTTGAAATCCTCTCTAAGTTCCTTGGTATTCTCACTAAGTTCATTGAGCATCCTTATAAGCAGTGTTTTGAACCCTGAATATGTTAGGTTGCTTATTTCCATTTAATTTAGTTCTTTTCCTGGAGTTTTGGTCTGTCCTTTCATTTGGGAGATGTTACTTTGTTTCCTCATTTTGGCTGCCTCCCTGTGTTTGTTTCTACATATCAGGTAGAGTTGTTATGTCTCCTGGGCTTCCTAGGGTGGCCTATTGTAGTAGGTGTCCTGTAGGGTCCAGTGGCACAGCCGCTCTGGTCACCCCAGCTGGGCCCTCGAGGTGCACCCCTCATGTGGACTTTGTACTCTTCTGGTGTAATTAGGTCTTTATTGCTGTTGGCATGTCAATGGGAGGGTTTTACTTAGACTGGTCAGCTGCAAGGACTGGCTGTGCCCACTGACCTCTAACTACCTTGGAGGATCAGCTGTGCAGGGCCCACCACACAGAGAGTTTTACTTCATCAGGGCTCTGGTACCCACTGAGTCCACATCTTGAGTGTGTCACTTGTGGAGGAGGTTGGGTGGTGGTGCTTCGACATGGTCTGAAGCTGTCCATTGGGTGTGCTGGCTCTGGGGCAAGTTCAGCCACTGCCTGTGTTCTACCTTGGGCCACCAGGCATAAGCTACAAAGTGATCTGCAGATGGTGCTTCTTGTGCTGAGCTTGGATGTGCCCAGGCAAAGCCAAGCTGTGAACCAAGGCTGGCTGCTTCTAGTGCCAGGTCTGGGTACACTTAGCGAGAGGTATGGTGCTTCCTGAAGCCAGATGCTGCTTGTTTGAGAAAACTTAGGAAAATATAAAGCAGGAGCCAACATAGGCCAATCCTATGGTGAAGCCACTGAAAACAGCTTGGGTGGTCCCAGAAGTTGGGTGGGGTGGGGCCTCAGGGAATCACCAGGGTGGACCAAACTGTGAACCAGGTTTCTGGAGTCCCAGATATGGCGGCTGTCTGCTGTCCCATGGAAGGGCTCACCAAAGGAACAAAGGCTTTTGACAGCACGTCTGTCCCGGAGAAAGCTGCCTCTCCAGCTCTGGCCCTGAAGCCAAACGACTCAGTTCTTCACCGTATGTCTCTGGTGCCTTTCAAGCTGCCTCTCCCATGCTGGAGCCCAGAAGGAGCAAGTCCAATTAAGTCTGTGCACAGGTCCTTTAAGAGGAGCTGCCTGGGGCTCCAGACATCTCAGCCTCCCTCAGCCTCAGTTCCTGCTGTTTTTACAGCCAGACATTATGGGATTTCTCTTCCTGGCACTGGAACCCTGAGCTGGAGGTCCTGGTGTGGGTCAGGGACTCCTTGTTTCTCAGGGAGGATCTTCATAGCCAGTGTGTCCCTCCTGATTTTCATCTACCACGTGTGGGTGTGGGACCAGCCCATCTCCATGCCTCTGCCCCTCCTATCAGTCTCGATGTGGCTGCTTCTTTAATTTTGTAGTTGTAAGACTTCCATTCAACTTGATTTCAGGTGGTTCTGCATGATGGTTGTTCTGTAGTTTAGTTATAATTTTGATGTGGTTGTGGGAGGAGGTGAGTACTACATTTCCCTATGCTGCTATCTTGACTGAAATTTTTTTATTTATTGTTCACAGTAGTACAGCTTTCCCCCATTGACTCCCGCTTGGCACCCCTCCACCCAGCTCCCACCCCTCCCAAGGCCTTCCCCACACTATCCTCTTTGTCCATGGGTTATGCATATATGTTCTTTGATAAATCTCTTCCCATCCCCCCCTCCCCTCTGAGATGTCAGTCTGCTCCATGCATCCCTGCCTCTGGACCTATTTTGTTCATCAGTTTATATTTTTCACTAGATTCCACATATAAATGAGATCATGTGATATTTGCCTTTCTCTAAATAGATTATTTAGCCTAGCATAATAATCTCCAGGTCCATCTATTCTGACACAAAGGGTAAGATAGCCTTCTTTTTTATTTTATTTATTTTTTATAATGTTCCTTTTTTTTTTTTTTAATCTATACCCAAGGACATTTTTGCATTTATCTTTAGATAGAGCGGGAGAAAGAGAGGGAGAAAGAGAGAGAGAGAGAAACATCGATGTGAGAGAGACACATGAAGTGGCTGCCACCCACACAACCCCAACTGGGACTGGGGACAAACTGCAACCAAGGTATGTGCTCCTAGCAGGAATTGAACCCAGGCCTCTCTGGTCCACGGGCCGATGCTCTAACCACAGCAAAACCGGCCTGGGTCAATGTTCCTTCTTATATGTATCAAAACTCATACTGAACAATGAGTTCTGGGTTGCAAAAGAGGCTTTATTTTTCGCACTTGAGCCTTCTTTTTCATAGCCACATAGTATTCATTGTGTAAACATACCACAGCTTTTCTATCCATTCATCTACTGATGGGCACTTAAGTTGTTTTGAGATCTTAGCTATTGTAATTAGTGCTGCTATGAACATACGTGTACATATATTCCTTCTGATTGGTGTTTCAGACTTCTTAGGATATATTTCCAGAAGTGGGATCACTAGGTCAAACTGCAGTTCTATGTTAAATTTTTTGAGGAAACTCCATAGTGTTTCCACAGTGGCTGCACCAGTCTGTGTTCCCACCAGCAGTGTACTAGGGTCCCCTTTTCTCTACATCCTTGCCAGCATTTGTTGTTTCTTCATTTATTGATGGTAGTCATTCTGGCAGTTGTGAGGTGATACCTCATTTTAGTTTTAATTTGCATCTCTCTGATGATTAGTGACATTTTTTCTTATGTCTATTGTCCACCTGTATGTTCTCTTTGGAGAAGTGTCTATTCCGGTCCTTTGCCCATTTTTCATTTGGATTGTTTGTCTTCCTGGAGTTGAATTGTATAAGTTTTTTTTTTTTTTATATGTTTTGAAAATTAACCCCTTATCAGATATATCATTGGCTAATATGTTCTCCCATACTATGGGTTTCCTTTTCTTTTCCTTGTTTTTTTTTTTTTTTTTTTCTGTGCAGAAACTTTTTAGTTTGATGTAATCACATTTGTTTATTTTTTCCTTTGTTTCTCTTGCCCTAGGAGATGTATTGGTGAATATATTTCTATGTGAGATGTCTGAGTTTTTTGTTTTTTTTTTAATTCTCACCTGAGGATACTCTTTTCCATTTTTATCTTCAGATAGAGTGGAAGAGAGAGAAACATCACTTGAGAGAGACACATCAATCGGTTGCCTCCTGCACAACCTCGACCAGGGCTGGGGACTCAACTATAACCAAGGTATGTGCTCTTGACCATAACTGAACCCGTAACTCTTTGGTCCGTGGGCCGACGCTCTACCACTGAGCCAAACCAGCCATGGTGAGATGTCTGAGATTGTAATGCCTATGTTTCCTCATAGGATTTTATGATTTTATCACTTACATTTAATTCTTTTATCCACTTTGAGTTTATTCTTGTGTGTGGTGTAAGTTAGTGGTCTAGTTTCATTTTTTTGCATGTACCTGTCCAATTTTCCCAACATTTATTGAAGAGACTGTCTTTGCTCTATTGTATGCTCTTGACTTCTTAGTCAAATATTAATTGACCATACAGGTATGGGTTAATTTCTGAGATTTCCATTTTGTTCCTTTGGTCTATATGTCAGATCTTGTGCTGGTACCAGGCTGTTTTGATTACAATAGTTTAGTCATATAGTCTTTTATTTTTAATTTTTTATTCATTTATTTTTGTTTCTCCTTTTCCCCCCATTGACCTCCTCCTCCCTGTTTCCCCTGTCCCCATCCCCAGCATTGTTGTTTATGTCCATGGTTATGCATACATGCACATAAGTTCTGAGGTTTATTTCTTCCCTCCCTCCTCATCCCCCTCTTCTGAGGTTTGTCAGTCTGTACCCTATTTCCATGTCTCTGGGTCTATTTTGTTCATCAGCTTGTATTGTTTATTATATTCCCCAAATAAGTGAGATCATATGATATTTGTCTTTCACTGATTGGCTTGTTTTGCTTAGGATAATATTCTCCAGGTCCCTCCGTGTTGTCTCAAAACATAAGAGATCTTTCTTTCTTACAGCAGCATAGTATTCCATTGTGTATATGTACCATAGCTTTTTTATCCACTCATCTATTGATGGACACTTGGGCTGTCTCCAGATCTTAGCAATTGTAAATAGTGCTGCTGTGAACATAGGGATACATATATTCTTTCTGATTGGTGTTTCAGGTTTCTTAGGGTATATTTCTAGAAGTGAGATCACTGGGTCAAATGGCAGATCAATTTTTAATTTTTTGAGGAAACGCCATACTGTTTTTCATAGTGGTTGCACCAATCTATATTCTCACCAGCAGTGTACTAGAGTCCCCTTTTCTCCACACCCTCACCAGCACTTATTGTGTGATGATTTTTTGATGGCAGCCATTCTGGCAGGTGTGAGGTAATACCTCATAATCATTTTAATTTGCATGTTTCTAATGATTAGTGATGTTGAGCATTTTTTCATGTCTCTTGGCCATTTGTATGTCCTGTTTGGAGAGGTGTCTAGGTCCTATGCACATTTTTTAATTGGATTGTTTGTATTCCTTTGTTGAGTTGTATGAGTACTCTATATATTTTGAAAATTAACCCCTCATCTGATGTATTGTTGGAAATTATGCTCTCCCATATAGTGGGTTCCCTTTTCATTCTGATGGTTGTTGTTTTTGTTTTGTTTTTTGCTGTGCAGAAGCTTTTTAGTTTGATGTAGTCCCATCTGTTTATTTTTTTCTTTGTTTCTCTTGCCTTAGGTGTTGTATCAGTGAAAATTCTGCTGTGTGTGATGTCTGAAATTTTGTTGCCTACATTTTCTTCTAGAATTTTTATGGATTTATGAGTCACATTTAAGTCTTTTATCCATTTTGAGTTTATTCTTGTATATGGAGTAAGTTGGTGGTGTAGCTTTATTTTTTTGCATGTAGCTGTCCAATTTTCCTAATTGAAGAGGCTGCCTCCACTTTACTCCACTGTATGCTCTTGCCACCTTTGTCAAATGTTAATTGAGCATAATGACTTAGGTCAATTTCTGGGTTCTCTGTTCTGTTTCATTGATCTGTATGCCTGTTTTTTGTACCAGTACCAGACTGTTTTGATTACAATGGCTTTGTAGTATAACCTGATATCTGGTATTGTGATTCCTCCTACTTTGTTCTTTTTTTTCAAGATTGCTGTGGCTATTCGGGGTCTTTTTTTATTCCATATAAACTTTTGGAGTATTTGCTGTAGTTCTGTGAAATATGTCATTGGTATTTTGTTGAGGACTACATTGAATCTATAGATTGCTTTGGGTAGTATGGACATTTTAATGATGTTAATTCTTCCAATCTATGAACAAGGTACATGCTTCCACTTTTTTATATCTTCATCTTCCTCTATTTCTTTTTTCAATGACCTGTAGTTTTCTGCGAAAAAGTCCTTTACTACTTTCGTTAAGTTTATTCCTAAGTATCTTAAATTTTTTGCCGCAATGGTAAATGGGATTTTTTTTTTTTTTAGTTTCTCTTTTTGTGAGTTCATTGTTGGTGTCTAAGAATGCCATCAACCCCCCCCCCATTTTTATTAATTTATTTTTATTACAGATGTTTCTCCTTTCCCCCTCCTCCCCATCTTGCACCCCCCAAGAATGCCATCGATTTCATTTCTTAACATTAACTTTGTATCTTGCTACTTTGTTAAATTTATTTATTAAATCTAGTAGATTTTTTATGAAGTCTTTAGGGTTTTCTATGTACAATATCATATTATCTGCAAATAATGACAGTTTCACTTTCTCTTTCTAATTTGGATCCCTTTTATTCTTTCTTCATATCTAATTGCTGTGGTTAAGACTTCCAGTACTATGTTAAATAAGAATGGTGAAAGTGAACATCCTTGTCTTTTTCCTCTTCTTAAGGAAAATGCTTTTAGTTTTTGTGCATTGAGTATGATGTTGGCTGTAGATTTTTTATATATGGCCTTTATTATGTCAAGATATGATCCCTCTATTCCCACAATTCTCAGTGTTTTTATCAAAAATGGGTGCTGGATTTTATCAAATACGTTTTCAGCATCTGTTGATAAGATCATATGGTTATGCATATATACATATAAGTTCTTTGGTTTATTTCTTCCCTTCCCCCAACCCCCTTCACTTTGAGGTTTGTCAGTCTAACAACCAATTTGTACTTCTTAATCCCTTCACCTTTTTTACTCATTCCCCCAACCTTCCTCCTATCTGGCAACCAACAAAATTGCTCTGTATCTATGAGAATGTTTCTGTTCTGCAGAAAACTTCCCTAACTTGGTGAAGAGAACAGATATACGAGTCAAGGAAGCAAAGAGAGTGCCAAATAAGATGAACCCCAAAAGGCCCACACCAAGACACATCATCATCAAAATGCAAAAGGATAAAGACAAAGAGAGAACCTTAAAATCAGCAAGAGAAAAGCAGTTAGTTACCTACAAGGGAGTTCCCATAAGACTGTCAGCTGATTTCTCAAAAGAAACTTTGCAGGCCAGAAGGGAGTAGCAATAAATATTCAGAATGATGAAAAGCAAAAATGTACAACCAAGATTACTCTATCCTGCAAAGCTGTCATTTAGAATCGATGGCCATATAAAGAGTTTCCCAGACAAGAAAAAGTTAAAGGAGTTCATCACTACCAAATCATTATTATATGAAATGCTGAAGGGTCTTCTTGAAGAAAAATGTTTCTTGAGGTAAGCCTGTAGTGCTATGAACTTCCCTCTCAGGACTACTTTTGCTGTGCCTTATAGATTTTGTGTTGTTGTGTGTTCATTTTCATTGGTTTCTAGGAAGTTTTAAATTTATTCCTTGATCTTCTTGGTAACTGATTCGTTATTTACTAACATACTATTTAGCCTCCATGTGTTTGAATGTTTTTGCTGTAATCGATTTCTAATGTCATGCCATGGTAATCTGAGAAGATACTTGATATGATTTCAATGTTCTTGAATTCATAGAGACTTACTTTGTGTCCTAACATATGGTCTGTCTTCAAGAATGTCCTGTGTGCACTTGGAAAGAATGTATACTCTGCAGCTTTGGGGTGAAATGTTCTGTAAATATCAATTAAGTCCAACTGATCTTGTTCATCACTTAAGGACTCTGTGCCCTTGTTAATTTTTTGTCTAGAAGATCTATCCAGTGGTGTCAGTTAAGTGTTAAAGTCACCCACTATGATTGTATTGCTTTTGATCTCTACCTTGAAGACCTCAAAAAGTTTTAAAATGTATTTTGTTGCTCCTGTATTTGGTGCATTTATGTTCACCAGGGTTGTATTCTTTTGTTGGATTGATTCCTTTAATATTATGTAGTGTCCTTTCTT